GTACTATCTCAAGTAGTTCATCATACTACGATGAAGATGAAGAAGATGATTACAATTGGAATTTGAAATCAATCTTAAAGAAGAACCACAGCAAAGAAGATGAAGAAGATGAAGATTATTTATGCATTTCTGATTTAAGACATCATCAACAAAGAAAGAAAGTATCATTCAATTACATTGTTAATACTAGAGAAATCATTAATGGTATCTCTGTTGATTATGATTTCTTAGATCATGATTGTTTGTAATCAGAGCAAATATAGACACTTTCACTTCATCGCATTTACATTCATACATTCTTGTACTATTATATTCCTTGACATATCATCATAGCTGGTCTATGTTGCTTCAAGGGAGGTTTATACAAAACGGGTATCACATTTTAGACTTAAACAAAAAATGGGTTTTTTTGGTTAATAAATTGGTTTTTTTATTTTAGAGATTGGCATATTAATTTTATTTAGAGACACTATATATTTAATATTACAAAAGTCTTTTAATTTCTGGACGGCTTTCATATGACATAACAATTGCGATTAGAACTTGTAGATATTTCTAGATCAAGTAGCCTTTGATTTGATAGAACACATGGCAAAGTTTCTGATACTTGATAAAAATTTGATCATCTTTTCTACCCAAAGGGGTCCTCCGTCGGTAGTGTGTCAAGTCTATTCGATGATTCCGAGAGAACTACACACTACTATGCTGAATCAACATCAAAGGAATACACATGATCTTCATCAGCTCACAAATACTTCGAAGATAGTTTAGAATGGGTGACCTTTGAAGTTATTGTTGAGTGACATATACATATGTAGATCTGGCCCTGCGAGATTTCGCAGCTAGTTAACAAAGTAATGTGCAGTGTGACCCCTTGCGTAAAAGGGCCAAGTCATGCATGTGGGGGATTACATATATTGTGGGTAAGTTAATTCCCTTTACCCCATTGAATATACCCCCATAAAGAGATAGAGACACGGTATATACAAAAATCACATTCTTTCACCTTCTCTAAAGTAAGCTTTTTGTCTTTTGTCGTTTATTCGCTTATGATTTACAATGGGAACAAAATTTTTTTTTTCCCATGTGAAACAAAATTTTTCTATTATGATGAAAGAAAGAAAAAGGGACAAGAACTTTAAAACCATATTCAATTCAAAGAAAAGTCAATTCTCTCCGGGTTATTCATTGGAGTATTCCCAAGACACTTTGCAGTGTTATTGGTTTCATTCACAAAGTATACATGTAACACAATTACATTTCAATTGGTTGATGAGATGGAATTTGGGGGGATTATTGGAGAAAATTGGGGGAAACTTGGGGTATATGAAAAAAAGAAAACCAACTGGGGATTTTGAAGACTTATCGCCGCACAAAAAAACCATTTCCTCGTCTTCTTTTCCCGTGGAAGGATTTCCCCTAAAGGAACCAAAAAAAAAAAAAATATAAAATTTTGCGACTTACTGTTCTTCCCCCCGAAGAAGGGGAAAAAAAAAATAAAAATTTAGTAAATATAAACTATGACTAACCAAATGGAAGAACTTAACTCCCCCCCAAAAATTTCCGTACTTAAGTACGGAAACCTAAAAGAAAAGCTTTGCTATTTTCTGATTTACTTTTTTTTCTGTTTCTTTGAGTTATTCCGTTGGAACGGATTGCTTTTTCCTAATTAAGTTGGATTACTCACTCGTCGCAATTTAACTGTATTGCGAAAAAGTGGAGTAGTGTCTGTAAAATCGGTTAAAAGTTTTTTGCAATCAGAAAAAAAAAAAAATAATCAACCTCGGTGATTGATATCCAAGAATTAATACTTCCCAATTTCCAACAGACAGAGAGTTTAATTAATTGCCGCGGTCTCGCATTACGAGACCCGGAGCAGAGAGTGTGTGGGGGTGGAGTGAGAATAGAGTCATATTCGTTGAAGTGTATTCGTTGTAGTATAGGAGCAGAGATAGATCATACAGATGATGTGTTGTATTACATTAGTTAACTGTAGTTTTATATTTAGGAATCCCTGCACTATTGAGCTGTGTATATTTCCTACCGCCGTTACACATCTGGATCGTCTATCCAGAAACCTATCTACCAGGTGGCTGTGCTCTATAAAGGTCCCTGACCCTTTGTTATAGAAAGCCCCCCGACATCTATCCTACGAAGGTGCATGACCTGTATTCTTGGAAGGTCCTGTCTTCTCTATATAGTTATCCTCGTATGGTTACCTGACCTATACTCGGAAGCTCTATGCTTGTCCTCTAATCATGTCGCTTTGTTTTCCTCCTCATTTAAATCCTGGCCTCTGATTTCAATCCAACAGCAATTTTTAGGGTTATTAGTGCAGCATGTAGATGCAAAATTGAAGTGTCAAATTCCGAAGTTATGTAGAATATGTTAAAGTGCATGAATATGGAAAATGAGTCACACATATCCACACTCAATGGAATCAACCGTTTCCCAAATCAAGTATTTTTGCCTCATTTGTACAGAAAGCAAACCAAGGTTAGATCACGCGTCCACCTTTGCTGGTTTATTTTTGAGACTACAGCATAGAGCAAACAAAGCAATCTTTCCAGCAAATGACAACAAAACAATTTGAAATTGCTGCAAACCATTTGCTGCAAGATTTTATTAACCACATACATCAAACCCTAAACAACGCTGCAGATAACCTGCAAAATACACCTACCCATCTATCAGACACGTTTTTAAATACTCGCCAAACAACTCGTTTATAAAACTTAAACATAAACCGTCAACTTTCCCTCCTCCCTCCCCACCGCTCCGGAACAAGACCCCAAACCAGTACTTGTACCATTATAACAATAGAATTTAACGCGGGTAATCTATCTATCTAACAAAGAAAAAAAATATCCATATCAGCTGATTTCCAATCTTCCACCTTCCAGTAACCGTTTACTTCTTATCAAGGGGGATTGCTTAAGCCTTCTACCCTCTCTGGGGAAGCTCTTCCTAATAAAGGAACTGATCCTCCGCGTAATTGCGGAGTGCGCCAGCTTGCACTATTGTTTCTATTGTTTGGGATATACCTAAAAATCTTTGAGAACAATGATATCTATTCTAAGCGTACATTAAAAATTACTTTCGGTAGGGTTTCCACCTTCCTTTTCCATCCAACAAGCGTTGAGAGGTGGGGGTGAGGAAGGGAATAATTCTTTTAGGTAGTGGTGGCGTATTCGGAATAATTAAGACCTTAGCTCTAGCAAAAGGAAAGTGTTGGCTGTCAATGTTCGTGTTAGAATTTCTCCGCTTTGGGTTTTTTCGCAGCTTTTGCGAACGCGCGATTTTGGAGAGAAAAATTTCTTTGCTTAGGGGAACGCAACCTATTTTTCCTAATCCAGTAGCGAAACCGGAGAGGTTATGAAGAGAAACTATCGAGATCGGGGGGACTGGTAATTCCTTGGGTTCATAACTTTGAGAATTGACCTTTGAGGAGAGAATAAGAAAGTGTCCATAATTCAAGGAATTATAGTTTTGAAGCCGATGCTCGGCCTGGACCCAAATTTAGAATTTATGAAACACGCCTGTCAATTGTCAAGTAGTCATCCTATTGTTGTAGATTACGACTAGGGGGAGGGGGAAGGATCTTCTAGAATCCTCCTGGTTGGAAACAATGCAAAGATTTCCATTGACCAAAAAAAGTGTCTGAACCTCACTGAATGACAATACACGCCACTCCCGACATAAAATAAGGAAAATACCTCGCAACCGAATCATCGCGAGACAGGCAAAAAAAATAATAATAAACTTTCCAGATTTCACTTGCATAAAAAATATCAAATTTTTACAGTTTAGTGTCGCCCCCCATAATTGACAGGATTAATTGCGAACAAAAAAATAAATTCAAATTGTGTCAGGTGTGCAACCAAAAAATGAAACAATAGAAATCATATTTCCAGGGAATGACTTATTATTCCATACCATACGAGTCTGTGACGACATTCGAATTTTTATTATTATTGTTATAAATCTCAAGCAAAATCAGCCGGAAAGTCATCCGACTATACAATTTCATATTTCCAGGATCATGGCGGTGTGTCAAAATCTCAAGATTAGTGGAAACACATGTAAACCTGAAATCAATTCAGGGAGTGGATTTCATTTCGGATTAGTGTTCCAATTGTATACTGATTTGTGTAACAGACTAAACCTTTTTTTGTGTGCCATTCCCCCACATTATTTCTTTCGATACATACGTACATCGTGGGGGATATACGGTGGGGGATGTAAATTTGCAATTGCAAAATTTCAAAACCATTTATGTGTAACATTGGGGGATTGGGGATTCTTAGGAATAAGTTAACCTGAAACATCCGCAGATCCAAGAAGACCATCAGTAGAATTGTTCTATATAACTTGTGATGCAATTTAAGTGACTAACATAATCGGCATATGACACACACAATTGATTGTCAAGTAAATGTTATATGAGAATGTAACAAGGAAACGGCACATACATATTTCCAAATGTAACGAGAGAATTTGAAGAGAGGGGAGGATAAATGTCAAATTATGTCTTTACAAATAAAAAAAATGACAGGCATAAAATGTCGAAGTATGACTCTTCCATGCCATTGTTGTCACTTGAATTTATTTTTTATTTTCTATCAGAATTTGTAAATGAGAACTGTTTTTTACAGTTTACTTCACATAAGCGAAACTCCCACGGAATTTTTTTTTACAGATTTTACCACTTTTCCATAACACGGATATTATTTCCATTGTAAAAATACACCAAACAAACTAAAAAAATAAATTGATATTCTGGGGGATAAGAACATTCAACTAAAAATAAATATGACCGTCATCAATATTAGTTCTTTGCCTTTCGGAACGGATCAAAGAAAACATGTACACAAACAATTTGTAAACCAATTAGACACTATTGATATTATCAAACTTCACAACCTGTAAAACTTGATCCTTGCCATGCATCTCCGAAAACAGAATCTCTGAACAACGGAAAAGTACGGATATTTATGGATTTTAGATTTTTTTAGTCAATTTACATGAATTTCCTTGGCATGTGAGAAATTTAGACAGTAGATAGATAGGTCCAAGGGAACTCTCGATAAGCTACAATTGGTAAGTCCATTCATCCAGCTTCATTGTCAATCTTGTCATTGTAACTATGGTTGAAGTTGACATGTGATTGCTTTGCGACATAATTGCCTTAAGATTTTGTCCAACTGGGTACACGGATTGATATTCATTCGGATGAAGTGGAATAAATATCAATCCAAGTCATTCCGTCAAGAAAGTGTCTGATCACGTTAATACAATATACGAAATCACGTCTTCTAGTTATTAAGCCATCTTGTTTAATTGGAAAGGGTGATCAATTTCAATAGAATCAATAGTACGGCTGATATCCGCCTGGGTTTTAATACTAATCATATGATTCTAGCCATATTATTTTATAAGGTTTTTTTTTACAAAGGGACGGGTCTAAACTCCGGATTCTTTCAGTAATTTATTTTTAACACAAGTTTCTTTTGTCGTGACAGAACTATGCGGTTCTAGACACATACGTGACAAAAATCTTATCTGCAGGAATAAAAATTTCTTCCCCTGAAGTTTTTTCTTCTAAGTGAAAAATTCTTTTAAGTAGATTAAAGGGATAAGAGTAAGATTATCCATCCTATACAATAATGATAAGTAGGAAGAATCTCCAAAAACAATCTTACGCGGTTATAAGCCGAGGATTTAAGTTTAACCTAAATATCCCACCTCAACCAGAAATAGTCTATAATGGTACCAACAAAGGTCGACCAAAAAAGTCAACCCAAGATACCCTTAGATCACTTTCCAAAGATATCAATTTAGAAAGTGAAGATGGTAGACCTTTTGATCAAATCAGAAATTCATTCTCCAGACATAAGAAAACCCCATCATGGCTAGAATCACCTCAACTTAGTGCCAATTCGAAAAATCCCGCTGATGAGTGGGAACAGATCTTTGCTACGGCGAAAACCCCATCATCACCCAAAGGTAATTCAAGTTCTAATGGGTCTCCTAAATCAGAATCCACTGGACGTCTTAATATCAATCCCAGATCGTTTTCAAGCTATACTCAACGTGAGAACACTCCACGTGATAACAGCTCCGCGCCTAAGGATGATTTCGGAGATCTTTTTGAAGCGCTCAAGAGAGACGAGACAAGACCGCAATCTCAAACAAGATACCCAGACATGAATGACAGATACCCCAGCAGATATCAAGACAGAGACAGACGTACGAGTGGATATGGCCGTGATTTCCGTGATAGATATCCACAACAACAACAACCAAGGGAAACCAGATATGGTGATAGATATGGTGACAGACCAGGAAGCAGCAGATATGACCGTAGAGCAGGAGGAGGCGATTCTAGTCAACAATGGCCAAGTTTGGAAACTGGTTCCGCGAAGGCTAGAGATGCCTTAAAATATACCTGTGGGAAATTTGCCGAGCTTGATCCGGATAATATTCGATTCTATTGTGATTTCTTAGATCCTGAGACTAATCACATAAGAGAAGATAATTTAACTAACATTGCCAGAAATTTGGATTTAGCCAAAGATGGAATTGAGATTATTGAAAGACACAATGCTGATCAATTATTGGTTAAGATTGTGCCCGTTGTAAAGATGATGCAAGCGTATTCTGATCATTTAGCAGAACTTAGAACACAAGAATTACTTCGAAAGGATGCAAAATCGGTGATAAGGGAGCAGAAACAACGTGAACAAAGATTAAAAAGACAAGCGACTGGGAAATATGTGAATATGTCATGGAGTATTAGTCTTCAAGATTTAAATGCTAAAAAGAAGTATGATATTGAGAAACATTTGAATAATGGTGATAATTTTACGATTACTGTTATTTCGAAAAAGAAGTGGGAGAGGAATCCAGTTTCATTGACAATAAAAGATCCCGATGCGTTGGAGTTTGAGTTAAAGAGAAGAGAGATGAATAAGAATGCGTTGGAAGAGATATTGAATCAATCTGGTCGTTGTACATTTACAGTCGAGGGTGATATTGAAACTTCATTAAAATACACTGTTACTCCAAAAGGGGGCAACTACACCCAACCAGCTGCAGAAGAACAAGAAGATGCTGACCATGACGAGGTGGACTCAATTGAACCAGACACTAAACAAATCAAACAGCAAAGAAAAGCAGAAAAGAAGATGGCACTCAAGAATAAGACCGATGAACCTAAACAGAAAAAGGATGAAAAAGACTTGGACGACATGTATCTGTTCGTTATCGAAGAATGAACAATATAGCCCACACACAGACGCACATCTCCTTCATGTATATAAATATTAATATTAATAAATTATTATTATTACAAAACAAAGAAAAAACAGGTTTACACAATTCTAAACAATACTACCATATCGATAACTCTCATTCGTTTGCAAAATGGAATCATTCTGTTCCCCCTGCCTCTGTTTCTGATATTGTCTCGTTGATTCCCTTAATCTCTGTCTCTGTCGTAATTTCTGGACTTTATATCCATATACATGACTACCAATGACTTCATCGACAATTGGATAATTCAACAATCGTTTAATATGGGTTTGTTGAAGATTATAATTAGATATTTCTTTAATTGCTTGTTGATAAATATGTTCATCTTCATCGAATTTCTCTTGTGAATAATCGACAATTGACAATTCTGGATCATTGGTTATTATTTCTTCAATTGTTTCGTCACGTTTTCCTAAGGATGGTGAACTGGGTGGAGATTGTTTGGGTGATGCTGGATAAATTGCTCTCATGGATGTGTTATTGGAATATATTGATGCGTTATCAAGAGCATGGATTTCCGATGTGCTTTGTATAATTGGAGATAGCGATTGAGTATTTGAATTATCAGGTAGCCAATGTTTATGTTTCCCATCATAATGATATCGTAATCCTTGATGAATCCTACTCATTCTTCCTTTAGAATCAGGATGGGCAACCACCGCTTCTACAGAATCGAATTGTTTATAATCTTTATAATAATCTCCATGGAAAGTCAATTTAAAATCATTAATCAAATCTCGGAATCCTAAACAATCTTTCAAAGAATATTTAAATTCATATCTTCCCCAAGGTAATTGTGATAATGTGAATGGTTTATGACTAAATGAAAACCAATGTCCCAAAGCGAATCCCATCAATTCAATACAAAGTAATGCATTTTGAATACAGACCCCAATACTTTCTTTCCCATCTTGTTCACTTCCTGGTAAGACTTGGAAGAAATTAAGAATGGCCAATATGACCCCCTGCCAATATGAAGCAAAAATGATTAATTTAACACATAAGAACTTCCCAACTGGTTTGAATGGTTTTAAATCTGTCCAAAGGATTTTCCAAAACATAGCTAAACAATATAATGATAATGTAACACTACCATTATAAAACAAGGTCAACCAGAAATAAATCGATTTATAACTCATATCATTAACATTATACCATCCAAATATTTCCGATATGATAGTTGTAAAACATATGATTGGTTTCAACCAAACATATTGTAATATCCCTCTTTTTAAACCCAAAAAAGTATGAGGATCAGAAATATCCAATGGAGGTAAACAATATCCCAACATTCCAGGATGATTAACCGGAGTTCTACCACTTGTCATAATGATTATATTCCTTTCACCTCCTAACATTTCCGTCAAGAGAGAGAAGAAAGTATAGATGACAAACGCTTCATATACTTCTCGGATTGGTTCAATTAAATATCGATTCACAATTGCAGTTTGGTCAATTAGCATTGAATAACATGAAAGGGCAAACAATGGAACTATCAATTGGATCCTAATCATTAGTCGTTGTTGTAATGGTTTTCTATAATTTATGAGATGGAAGAATATACTGACAAATACAATGATGGCCGATATTACTGCGGAATAAAATGATATGGAAATAATCCAACGCGGTAGTTGGACCATGTGATTGTTACCACCTTCGCCGACACCTCCTCCACTGTCGTTATTACCATCCTCTATCATTTGTGGTGCTTTGGTGTATAAAAGAATGATGTGTGTGTGGTTGTAAGTTTGTTTGGGTTTTGATTTTTTTTATGTTTCGCCTTTCGGCTAAATTTGACAGTGAAATTGTTTGATACGGGGGAGTTGTCGTACTGGAAGCAATATATTTTTTTTTCATCTGCGACCCAACAAAAAATTGACAGCAAAGTTTAGTCGCAACTTCCGTAGGTCCAGCCGTCCTAGAAAAGTTCTCTCATACGGTGGGAGGATTTTTGCAACCAAAATCTACAAACCAAAGTCAATCCTAAACCTGTCATTCTCCGCCAACAGGTCATTATCAAGCTCCACACGTAGGTTAGAGTCTTTAGGTAACGCGTGTTGAGCGCTTTCGATGCGTCTTTCATATTTTAAGGGCTTCCTCTTTGGTTTTGCAGTCGTTTTGGAGAATAGAAGAAAAATATAAACAAATGAAACACATAGGTGCAGCACCATCCCAATCAATACTATATCCTACACTCCAAATTCATTACTGAAGCTATAAATAAAAAAAAGCTACATCTATATAACTCGTCATTCAATACCCATCATCATTCTTTTCTATGCAATCCCAACATCTTTCAATCTTTTCTCTCTTTCTCTCTCAGCCGCCAATTTTTTCAAATCCTCTTCAGTGACTAAATGATGACTATGATTCAGTGGCAGTTCAACAACAACTTCTCCATTTTCATCCTTTTGTTCCAAACAAACTTGTATCCCCTGCACGAATGCATCTGATAATACATCTGGCATAAGAAATCTTTTTCGCGGGTCGAGGATTAACATATTCTTGATTACATTACGGGAAGGTTCTGGTAATAATTTGAGTAATCTTTCTGGTCCGCTATTATGATGGTGGTGATGGTGGTGATGATGTTGGGTGCGATTATTTCCATTTGAGCTAGCCCCTTCTCCATTTTCCTCTTTGGGCGGCGGGGTTGTTGATGTTTCTTCTACTCCATTACTCATCAGTAATACTTTCAATTCATTTTCCAAAGATGTATTTTCATCATTTATTAAAGTAGGTGCCGCGAATGATCTATACGAAGGATCAGATATCTTGGGGATTTTCCATGGGAATCGTTTAAGAATCATACAACAATAAATAATCGCAATTGACCAAACATCCGCTGTTCTAGGATCATATCCTGGACCTAATGGTTCAAACACTTCGGGGGATAAATATGGATCCGACCCTACGATTCCTCTTGCAAAGCTTAATTTATGAGTTGAATCTAACATGATTTCTTCTGATGTGGGAGTATATCCTTGTGGAACTTCTTTTTTGAATTGAACAGCTGATCCAAAATCAATTAATCGTAATATACCATGTTGGTTTACAACACAATTATCTAATTTCAAATCACGATGAGCCAAACCATTTTCATGTAAGAATCCAACCCCATTTATCATTTGTTTAAAATAACAGAAAATTTCATTTGTACCCATTAATCCACTCATAACTAAATTAAAAAAATCAAATGGACAATATTCCATTATAATATAATAATCAGGATCAAGTTTTTGTTTTGATATTTTGGAATAATCTTTAATTAATTCAAATGTATATATTATATTTTGATGTTTTAAATAATCACCAACTTTAAATTCATTTTTCACTTTAATTTCATAATCTGATTGAGCTTCTTGTGGTAATCTATTTCTAAATTTCTTAACTGCATATACTTTATTGGGGTCCTTTTTACATTGTAATAAATTAACTGAACCACTTGCACCTGCTCCTAATAATTTCCCAACTTCTCCATATCGATGAAATAAATCAAGTGAAGTATCTATAGGTTCAACTGCTGATGATAAAGCATGCTTTAATTTTTCACCGGGTTTAAGTTTTTTGAAAAATCTCTTTAGGGATAAATGATTCCCTTTCTTTGATCCAGTACTAGTACTTCCGATACTATTACTATTAATCATGGGTGTAGCTGTCAACTTTCCAGATGTTCCTCCTCCTTTTTCTAAACCTGAATCACCACCTCCACCACCAATGCTACCATTTGTAGAATTAGTAACTTGTCGATCTCCATTTATAGAAGAAGCATTTGAATGAGTTGGTTGAGGCTGAGTAGTAGCAGTAGATCCACCACCGCCACCTCCATTTTTTGAGTTTGATGAACTTGTAGTCAGGAAAGGAGTTATCAGACGAGATGAATTTCTGTTTCTGAATAGGGATCGTCTTGAAGATGAATTGGTGGAGTTGAGTGAAGGATTATCAGCCATTGGTTGTGTGGTTGTATGTTCTGAATTCTGGGAAGAATTCTTGAATAAATTTTTAAATGATCCCATCTTCTTAACTTGGTTTTAATAAATAAATAAATAAGATGGGTTGCTTATTGGTTATTGGTTTGATAGAAGTTAATATTCTCTTGTACTCTCTTTTATAATTTATAATCAAATAGTAAATAGCAATCTTCTATTTTATATGACAAATTTTTTGGATTATTCTTTTGAAATAAAAATAATTATGTCGGTTCTGACGGATTTAAAATATGATGTTTTTTTGCTGTACTGTGTGTTGTGACAACGTTAAATTATAATTACTATCAATTAATATGTGTAACTCAGCCTATAGATTATTACTAAACTGATTTAATTAGATCTATAAGTTATGAATGAATCAAGTAGTATATACTGATTAGAAACCCTTTTTTTTAAAAAAGAGAATATCTTTTGAATTCTGGGTAATATTGAAATGTATTGGAATTAAACTTTAAATGAGTTAAACCCACGTTCGCTATAAAGTCAGTCACCTGTTCGCCCGATTACCCCTTCGTTTAAGTTTCGGAAATTAGGTTGTTTACTTGATATATACTGTTGAGCTGATTCAATTTGAACCACCAATAGATACAGTCTTGTATAACTTATAGTGTTGTTAAAGAAGAAAAAGAAGAAAAGAGTAAAGAATAAATTTATTCTTTGGTTTGTTTGCAATTATATTTTTAATTAAAAAAAATATATATCAAATCCCGACCGAGGAAATATACAATACATACAACCAATCATATAAATACACACCCCCATGTGATTATATCAGTAATTATATATAGTTAGCTTATTAATCCGATGACATTCGAGGACTTTCTCAAATCACTAATCATATGCAATCTATAACAACTCTACAAGTAATGATTAAAGATTTCAAATCAGGAACGGGGCAATGCGGAGCGCCTAAACCGCGGGGGTGGGGCTCACTAGCTCGACTTCACATCGCACCCCAGACAAAATGGAAGAGGATTACTTTATGCCCATTAGGTACGATAGAGTGTAACCAATTATCCCAAGTAAATACATACTCTCACTCTCACTCTCACTCTCACTGTCTCCCCCCTCTCCCTCAGGACTTTGAAGAGAGTAAAGCAATAATAAGAGAAACATATTGAAAGCCTCCTTTTTAAGGGAGTCAAAAAAATCCCACAATTCCAATTTGCAAAGTCCTGGTTGTTGGGTTAGGATATCTCGAACACTCCTGGTTGTTGTGAAAGGAAAACTTTAAACTTTAAATTCGACGGATTTTTGCACCCATCGAAGCCACATCGAGACGCGAGGATCATGATCCCCATAATTACGTACATTTACTTATTTATGTCTAAGACCCTTCTCCTCCTGTTGTTTCTTTCTAAGACTAATTAAATCAAAGAATAAATATTATAATATTAAAAAAAGGGAGCCAATACAAAACTATCTTTACATACATAAAATAAACTAACAAACATAAAAAAAAACGCAATCAAATCATTCAAAAAGGGGTATTAAAATAAATCAAATAGAAAAAGGAATCTCATTTTATATCTTTATAAATCTTTGTCTATTCATCAGGTGACGAAGAACCCGTCAATCTATCCCAAACACTAATCTTCTTCCTAGTGTTATTATGACTATCCGAATCATGTCCATTACTAACCAACAATCGCCTTCCTTCATCATCATCGCCATTCTCAAGAGGTCCAACTCCATCCATAATTTCCATCAGATGACTAGATCTATTCCTATCACCACCAACACTATTCAAATTAAAAGAATCACTTCTTAAAACCGGAGTAGATTTCGTCTTCTTCTTAGCACTCGTCTTCTTCTTCTTTCTTCGCTTATTCTTTTTACTCTCCCTCTCATCATTATCATTATCACTATTATTACTCAATATATCATCAAACGGATTCTCAACCCCATCATCATCATCCGAAACATTCTCAATAATCGTCTTATGTACCCCATCCACATTAATCACACTCTCAATAATCCCTCCGGTCTTATATGATCTAGCTTCTTGATATTCTGGAATAGCCATCGGGCTTGATTTATTCGGTATTCTAGTGGCAATCGGAACATCCACATGTCCATTATGATGAATATGTCCATGATATCCATCTTGTTGTTGTTCCTCATTGATTTCAGACACATCAGCCTCCCTTTCTTCCGGTAACAAAAACCGATGATTTCCAGTACTATTATTATGATGACGATAATGATAATGGGGATATCTTTCCAGTTCGAATGAGCGACGTTGGGCTTCAATGATTGCACCTTGTTCAGTTGGATATACTGCTCCGTATTGTTTTGGGATCGGGGAGGGGGACGCGGCTTTGGTGACTGAATCGATTGTATCTTGATTTGGTCGTTTTATGGTGACGAATTTCTTATTGGTTTCAAGGGGGTTTGCGGCTGGGTTTTTTGGTTTCCAATTCTTTCCAACTGCCGAAGAAGAATCCCCACTAGTTTGTGGAAGTCCTGGTGTTGGTGTTGCTGATGGTGGTAATAGTGCTAGTGGTGGTTGTTGATCTTTGTGGAAACTATTTGGAGTTGATGATATTGTTGTTTCTGATCCTTTTTTCAATCGATCAACTAAATCAACATGTTGATGAGATGTTGAAGAATCCAACGAATTTCTTTTTGAATTTGGACCTGACCGTTGATATAAACTATGTAAATAAGTAGTTAAATTTCGTTTTGATAATGGACCAGGTTGAGTTCTTTTAATATTCTTATTAATATCAATATAAACATCCGATTCATCAACAATTTCTTCTCCAATTAATTCTTCAATCACATCTTCCAAGGTCAAAACACCAACTGCACCAGTGGGTTCACCTGGATGATCACTCACTACAATCATATGAGATTTCCCTTCTTGGAAATAATTCAAAATATTTAAACATGAAGTATCTAATGCGGTTTCAGGTAATGTAGCCAATGGGAATGATGCCACTGGAAGAGCATCTTCAGGATCATAACTAATTAAAACACGAACTAATAACATTCCAATGAAATTATATGGTTCATTAGGTAAATGAATTGGAATACGCGAGAACCCAGCATTAAAGATTTCTTCCACGGTTTTTTCATCTAATAAAGTATCTGCACTCATAGTATATACTCTTTCCATTGGGGTCATAATTGAACTAACTGGTTTTTCTTTTAAATCTAACACGGCACTAATAATAGTAACTTCATCTTGATTCAATCTTTCAACTCCCATAGTTCTATGTAATGTAACTAATGTTTTTAAGCCGGATTTTTTATAAACAGTACCATGATCTTCACCTAATATATGATCCAATAATAAAGCACATGGATAAGCAACTGGATACATAATATACATTAAACATAAAACAAATGGAGCAAATAATGCCCCAACTTGTAAACCATATCTAACACAAATAGATTGTGGAATAATTTCTCCAAAAATAACAATCGCAACTGTTGAAGTTACAACAGCTGGCCATCCACCTCCTAAACAATTATCTAAAACAATTGGCAAACTTTCATTAGTAATGACATTAGATAATAATAATGTAACCAATACCCAATGCTTACCTCTTCCAATCAATTCCAATACTTTTCTGGCATGTTTACGTTCTTTGGGTTCTCCACTAGTGGCAATAACTTTTAAATAAACTTCATCTTGTCCCATTAATCCAAGGGTTAATCCAGCAAATACACCACCTGCTAAAACCAAGAAAATCGAGGTGAATAGATTAACATAAAACTCTTCACGAGTCATAGTTTCTCTAGTATCGGCGTAATCATTATGATTTAATGAATTTGAAACTGTACTTGAAAAAATTGGTAATGAATGAGCTAATTTAAATAATTGGGAAAATATAAAAATGAATTTAGTAATTGAACTATTACTGCGGGTTAAAGATGAGGCAGCATGGTTATTTCGTGATCTCGATAGATTACTCATATAGTAAATGTAGATTCTTTGTATCTATAAGTTTGTGAATTTGATGAAAAAGGATGTTTCTCTAGAAAGAAAGAAAATGGAGTTAGTAAAAATTATTTATTTAAAGTAAAACAAAAAAACGTTTTCGATGACGACGTGACTTAGACTCTATAAACTTTTCGTTCTATTTTCCCATCACGAGAAACTAAAAAAAAAAGCAAGCAATTTACACTATAAAATTTAAGTGTCACAAAAATTCTATTTATGTTTTTGTTTTGTTTCGGTGCCTGCCATTCTATTTTAGTACGGGAAATATAGTATAATCTTTTTTTACAACCGAGGTGATTGAAAGTAATACGAGACAGCATATAATCCCATCCTATTAATATCAGTATCTATCAATATCTAATCAACATAATCAGGATGGATTATGAATTCCCATTTTTTGATTGTAAAGTTGTAATATTGGATGAGAAACTGAGGGATATTTTCATGACCCTCCAAAATTAGATGAGCCCCCGTGTTGATTAATCAGATTATTTTTGATGGAAAGTAATATTTGTCGTCATCCATCTCTCTGTTTCAATTAATACAACATACCTTAGTTAATTATAAACTTTTAAATTGATGAAGATGATTAAAAGAAGAAGAAGAAGAAGAAGAAATGAAAATGATTTGTTGTTAATGAAAAAAAAGGAGGAGAAATAAAAAAGAAGAAGAAGAAGAACAAAGTAGAGAATGAAACAACAGGAAAGAGTTTAACAATAAATTTGAAATAAAACGTGTAAAACTTTAAACAAAAAAATAAATATTATTAATTCTTACGAAAAATTCGCGCAAAATAAATTTGTCAGAATAAATTTAAACCCTAAAAGATTCTTTAAACCTTCAAATTCATTAACTTTTTATACTTTGTACATTTGACATATTTACATTGCTTTTAACCAACCTTAGAGATTTTAATCTTCGTAGCATTGTAAGGAACCAAATAGGGGGTTCCTGTGTAAACTTGCTACTTATAAATCCCTCATTGTAAGTTTAATTCTATTTTCTCTTCTTTTAACCTTGTGTCTACCTTTGTCTCAATTATTCGTATTTGTATAATAGAATGCTGTTTGAAAACTAGAAGCAATTACTGTTGAAGACATTGTGTAGCATTCTTCTAAATCATACGACAAAAATACCTCAATCTGATTGTTTTGCTCGGTTGTTTCTTGAAGTGTATTGTTTGTAAGGTTTTGTGCAACATTGAATAACAATCGGTTATATGCATAGAATCACAAAAATGACACCAATATTTATTGTAAATGTAGAAATAGACATCTAATATTGTTAGAGTAGAATATGATCATAATGATACCAGGACGCGTTTATCTCTCCAAGATTTGTAGATTGATTTGATATTGGTTTCTCTTATCACCTCATTCTGATCAATTTGATTAACATGTGGTTGGTGCACTTCTTGTTGAAATATATGTTGGTGGTTGCTTGGTACACAAACAGATGTTAACGTGCAGAAGCTCACCAAGATAAGTTTACATACGCGAGTACAAATGGAAGTTGAACGGAATTTCCAAATATGAGTCCAGCTTACAGGCTTGGTTATCATAGTTTCCGCTACCTACACCACCATCTACCCCACCGCCACCACCTACACCACATCCCACTACCTACACTACCACCACCACCACCCACACCACCACATCCCACCACCGCCACCTATACCACCACCCACCACCACCTCCTACTCCACCATCTCCTACCCCGCCTACACCACCACCTACACCACCTCCTCCTCCATTGTACCATTCCTTGATTGTCTTCATCCATTAATACCATCTTGAACTGCTTAATCCAACAACGAGAAGCTACTAGAATAATTGGAAAGGTTGTATGATACCTTCTAGTATTCTGAGAAGACCGTCCACAAAAGAAGTAATTGAAAGGTTATATTTTGAATTTAGTTGGTGGCAGATGGATGGTTGGATGGAATAAGAACTGAAGAAGGATGTATGGATGAAGAACATTCAAGACAAATGAGTATGGAATGTTTGATGAAATGACTGACTTATTGAATGAATGAACTTTAGGATGAAGGGAGTAAGAAGTACCTATTTGTGGCAGGAATAAATTTATGAATGGATAAAAGAATGAACAAGGAATGAATAAATGAATATGAGGCAAATGGTAGTAGTAGACAAAACAACATTATAGATGACACAAGAAGTGGATGGATGAATAAAGAAATGATTGAAAGAAAGACTAGATAATCTGGAAAGAGATAATTAATGAAAGAAGAAAAGAGAAAGAAAAAGAAGAAAGAAGAAACAAAAAAATTTGAATTCTAGGGGATTTCCAGGTCTATTTATACTTGAGATCTTTTTTGCAACCACAAAAAATTTGCAACCAAATTTGCAAGATTTTTTTGCTAATACTATTGGCTACATAACCACAAAAAAGTTCATACACAAAATAAAACTGAGGGGTTTGTAAATTTCTATCAAACCACCCATTTAAGATTAGCTTTAAGATATCTCAGACTTACTAGAAAAGACATTATAAGCAATTGAATTTGAATAGAGTGTACAGGATTGGTGACAAACCGGATTAAATCATCAATGGTAAGTTGCAATTATTTAATGACATCTACATGCCTTGTCTCTAAATTGAGAATAATGTTTAAATAAATCTACTTACTCCTTTTGTGCATTTTCGTAGAAATTCCGGAGATTTTCGAACTTCCCTAGATCTGTGCTCGTATCCAGGCAAATCTATAAAAAAAAAGTACTGTTGGCGCAAGCTAATGCAAAACTCGTTGTGCCTTCCTTCAACAAGTATCCGAGATTTATCTTTATATAAACATCAAAATATCCGGATCTGCTTATGTCGTTCTCTCGAATTTTGTACCCGACCATTTCTTCTCCACAATCAACATGACTATGGACTATTTATTATATCGGTATAAAGAAGAAGTGCGAGTTCTAAAGGGGATCTCTATAAGCTATAAACCAGGAATTGAATTCTTTTTTGGTAATTTAGATCCTATTGAAGTTATATCCAATTCATTAAATATAATCCAAAATTTAGTTACAAATTATGAATCATATATTAACATAATTACTCATTTTCAAGATATGAAAATTAAAATCCCCAATAAGGTAAATTGTCAAATTCTTCAAGATTGTAATCGATTAAATTCTTGTTTACATGATTCAATTATAATTTGTAAAGATCGAATTCAAACTTTAGAATGTAAAATTCATGAAGAATTTGTTAAATTGGCCAATGCAATTATTCATGTGAATTTATATCGAGTTGATTTACAATCAGAAGTGATCTCAATAACTTCTAGTAGTCTTGGTCTGAAGGAACATGAAGATATTCCTACTTTGGTACAGCTGCTAAGAAATTTAATTTGATAAATAGTTAAAAATAAATAATAAGCTTATTGCAATGCTTATAAGTTCCTACTTCTCTAGTCTTGCCCTTTGTCAATTTTGGCAATTTCAAAATGATTGCAAAATGTCGCATTATTCAAAAAAAAGAGAGACATTAATTGTTGTGAAATGATGTCGCATTGTAATTACAGGGCTGACATCAATTTTCTTACAGCACACACAATTATTGATCTTGACCACTTGATTATTCAAAAGACAAGATCTACAGCACACATTAATGTTGGGTATATGAACCAGCTTATATACATCGACGACTCATTGACCCAAGAATTGCTAATACGATTGGCAATCCTAATTTCTATCGGATACATTTGTTATTGCCTTACGAATCATCTAATCCAAAAACTAGTCATTGATAGATATCCATTGATCTATAAACATAACACCCTGTTGATATCAAGAGACAAGATCGTCGACATCCAAGGGGAGGAGGCAATAGAAGAAGTGGAATCAATTTTGAAACGTCCATTTGGTATTGATTTTGTCACTCGAGAAGCATTTTATCAAAATTTAAATAATAGTTCTCAATATTTACGGCGGGATAGTTTTAGTAATGAATGATCAAAATCAGATTCAAATATTCTTTTCGAATGATATAAGACGATTTCTTTATCGAAATTTCAAGGAGATAGAGGATCAGGAATTGTTTCTTTTGGGATATAAGTTTAATAATATCTATATTGTATTTCGACCAATTGAAGATGAGAAGATTCTTGATCATAGACTACCTAAACAAGTTGAAGATTTGTCAATTATAGGGAAATTGAATAATAAATCTAAGGATAATTATGATTTAAATCTACAGTTTGATCTTGCCAAGGATAGAATACCAAGATGTACCAATCCAAATACATCAATTATATTATTTGATCCACCTAATTTCAAAAACCTCGAATATTTTTCAATACGACCAATCCTATTACAATCAATAGATGAAGAGAAGTCGGGGTCTCCTGAAACTCAAAGCGCGGTTTCTAAATTAGAAAAATATGAACCAATAACTTCAATTAATCAATACCAGTCATATATTTCCGATGATGTTGTTTTGGATAAAATAAATCAACTATATAGAAATAGACTAGTGTTTGAAGATTGGTATGATGATCTACATGGGAAAACTCACTTTAAATATCCTCCTCAGTTACGATCAATACGCAAGTCATTAGCTGTCAATATTTTAGTTCCATTGGTTCAATTCATTCAATATATTTTAATCATTTCAATATATTTACTTAATTTCAAAATCATAGGAGAGATCAATCTAGTTACTATTTCCAAAACATTCCGACAACTTGATCTTAGATTAAAACAATTCAATTATTTCCCAATTCAATTCTTATGTTATTATGATCGAAATATTTTATATTCTGAAGATTCAATGATTATTAAGAATTTAAAATTACCAATCTTTAACAAAAACCTAAACATCAATAATTCCAACTATATTAATCTTTATAATTCATTATGGTTAATATTTAACGATATCCTAATTGGAATAACTGTGTATCAATTAGTTGAAGATAATTTCGAAAAAATCGAAGAGTTCATTCGAGAAAGTATAATCCAACAACATCTATTTGATCAATTAGTAGATTTAATCAATTGGGTATCCACCAAGAATCCTGCTGGGTTTAAATTAAATAACGAATTAGGAAAATTTATGGGTGATTTATATATTTGGGCTTTATGGTTTTGGAAATTATTTGTATTCCAAATCAGTCCCAAATTCCCCGTTTCGTTATCAATTATGAATATTTGTAAATTCTTATGTTATTTCGGGGGATTTTCATTCTTATTAAGTTTTTTAATGGATTGTATGAATATATTAACAATTCATACATATGGATTTTATTATTGTTCTACTAGAATCTATTATCGACAAATTCAAATCCTAAAATCATTATTCCAATTATTTAGAGGAAAGAAATATAACGTTTTAAGAAATAGAATTGATAATTTGAATAATTATGATGATGGCAGTCCATCATTTGAAATTGATCAATTATTATTAGGAACTTTGATTTTCATGATACTTATATTCCTATTACCCACAGTATTTGCGTTTTATTTTATGTTTGTAATAATGCATGTCCTAACATTAATGATGTTTAATTTTTTGGAAAATATTCAAATAATCCTAAATTTTACTCCATTATTTGTCATCTTGTTAAAATTAAAAAATTCAAAACGACTCCAAGGGGGGATTAATTTCGATTATATTGATTATAAAAATGGAACGACCTATATCAAAATGTCAAACAAATCATTAACAAGTTCGGAAATATTTACGAATTTTATTAAGTTATTTAAAAGAGCTAAAAATTTTAGAACTTCAATTATTCAGAATTTCATTAGTGGGGAACTTATTGCCATTAAGTATGATAATAGTTTGAAATTCCATTATTTGATGTTGCCTGACGAATATGGTGAAACGATTAATGTATGGAAGCATATTAAGTAGAGGAGGTATTTAATTTCATAAATGTATTATAGAGATAAGATGTGGGTGCAATTTTTTGGCTGCGAAAAAAGTGTTGCATAGTGCCAGTAGATGAAAAACGTGTTGCACAGACAGCTTTTTAGTGTAGAAGTAGCGTTCAATATAGATGCTTCTAAACCTCTTGTAAAATAATATTCTCCAATTTGGTGTTCTTTTCCATATTTCGACTACTTTGTGCAGACGAAACAATTTCATCTGACATGATGACCAACTCTATTGTTTCGCAGTTGGTTTTCAATTGGTCAAGCCAGATCTCCGTGAATTGAGCAAATATCTTCGAGTAAGCCTGGACTGTCATATCTGCCTTTTCAAGGTAGTAATCATTCCGAAAAAGATACATTATTAATTCTACATTAGGTGATAACCGCGTGCACAAAGCATGAGTTACATCTTCCAGATTTCCAATTGGTAGAAATACATGTCACGTGCAATAAAATTTTTTAGGGTTTCTACCCTAATTTAGATACTGTATATAGTGAGAACCAGATTAATTATTGCGGTAATGATTTTCTTTCTTAATTAGTGCGCACACTAACAAACAGAATCTTTTGTCTGGTCTCCTAACAAATGATGCGGCTCATACTCTCAAGCTGTCACTCACTCACTTGCACTCTGTAATCTCAGTCTCACTTGTTAGTGAAAAATTTTTTTGACTAAGGGAAAACTATAGTCAATATTACAATTTGAAATTTTTTTTGAGGTTTTCTTGTTTCTACTCTTGTGAAGTCTTATATCAACAGTATTCAAAGAACAAAGATGTCATTACCAGCTTCCTTTGACTTAACTCCAGAAGACGCTAAATTGTTATTAGCTGCCAACGTTCACTTAGGTTCTAAGAACGTTCAAGTATGTTTAAGATGATGAAAAATTAAAACGAGAAGGGAAATATTGAATAGCGAAAAGTATCTTGAATAGGATTGATGGAGTATATTGAACCATACCGAGACGGACAGAAGATACAGATCTACATCATATAAACGAATCGACTACAGAATACCTACAATATCAGATACTACATGTTTCATACTACATAATTTGGAACTACAAAATGAAAGTATAATTACAACAGATCTTCAAATAATATAAAGAGAACTTATTATATTCAAGAGAGAGCACTTTCAAAGAAAAAGCCAGAATTACTTTTCACTTATTCCCTTTTCAACGAAAATATTGAACTAGTTTTACTAACTTCTAAATTTTTAGGTCCACAACAAGCCATACGTTTACAAGACCAGACCAGATGGTGTTAACATCATTAACATTGGTAAGACTTGGGAAAAGATTGTCTTAGCTGCCAGAATCATCGCTGCTATCCCAATCGCTTCCGATGTTGCTGTCTGTTCTTCAAGAACTTTCGGTCAAAGAGCTGTCTTAAAGTTCGCTGCTCACACTGGTGCTACCGCCATTGCTGGTAGATTCACCCCAGGTAACTTCACTAACTATATTACCCGTTCTTTCAAGGAACCAAGATTAGTTATTGTCACTGATCCAAGAACCGATTCTCAAGCCATCAAGGAATCTTCTTATGTTAACATTCCAGTTATTGCTTTAACTGACATGGACTCTCCATCTGAATACGTTGATGTTGCTATCCCATGTAACAACAAGGGTAAGCACTCCATCGGTTTAATCTGGTGGTTATTATCCAGAGAAGTCTTAAGATTAAGAGGTATCATTCCAGACAGAACCACTGACTGGTCCGTCATGCCAGATTTATACTTCTACAGAGACCCAGAAGAAATTGAACAAAATGCTGCTGAAGAAGCCAAGACTGAAGAAGTTGAAGAAGCCGAAGCTCCAGAAGCTGAAGGTGAATGGGCCGGTGAAACCGAAGAAGTTGACTGGGCTGACTCTGGTGCCACCCCAGCTGTTGAAGATGCTGCTGCTTCTAACTGGTAAGTTATACAATAAGAACTTTTTGCAGAATGAATTAAAAAGTTGGAGAGAGAACGTCATCTTTTAATGAGAAAGGAGATAAAAGTGGGAGAAATGTGTATATTATTTACATTATTATCATTTTATAATTCACATTTATGTTTAATAGTAACCTGATTTTGTATCAATAGTCATCATGATTTCTTCTCTCGTTTATCTTTTTTGAAAGGCTGTTTCCATATTTTTAAATTCGTTTTTGCAATTTTGAATATTTTGGTGGGACCTGTACGATTAGTATCTTTGTTTAGTTTATTCATATAACGTATATATATATTTAAAAGAATAGAAAAAAAAAGTATCAAAACCGCTTATTGGAAGTCTTATCATCTGTATTATGCGTACTATACGGCTTAGCCTATTATGTCTACTTGGAGAGGTCTATTGTGTCTACATACTAAAGCTGATGCTGAGGTCTCTAATGGGATGGCACGAAAAAAGATTAGAAGTTACCCGGATACTGCATCGCTATAAAAAAATCTTCTCGATGAAAATTTATTTGCTTTATGTTTATACTCCTTTTCTTCTTCATATTTGATTACCACGGATAGCGACCTAAAAACCAAAAAACTGAATCCTAGTCATTTCAATTCGCTCTTACTATCCGGAAGTTATAGAACTGTATGCGTTCTGCATACAACTTCGCCTATTTCCTTGTTTGAGTTCTACGAAAGTTTACTATTGAAATTCGTTCTGAATGGATGTGGAATTCTTTCAGAGTTGATTTGATGCCCCCTCAAACCTACCTGAATGTTTTAGATACTTGCAAAAGGTTTTCTTTTGCTTGTTTTTATCACTTTATTGGAACGTTCGACCTTTTTGTTTATTTCCCACGGATTCAATCTTTATTTTGTTTTTGGTTCTTCCCAGAACAACCTTCCCGGTTTATCGTGTTCTTTTTTATTCAATAAAATTAGCACTTCATGCCCGGGTGATATTTCCTCTCCTTACTTAGAGATATCTATATAGAAATGATGGACATTCTCTGCAGTAACCTTCTAGAACAATGATTACATAATCATGTCTCGTAAATCAAAGAAAATCGCGTGTACCGAAAAAAAAAAATTGTTTCTCCACCGAGAATCACCCGAAGCGAGATTTTAAATTTAAAGTTTTAAAGTTTTCCCTTTTTCTTTTAATAAGCCCACACCCCCCTCCAAAGGAAACAAATCAACAACATTTATTTATAATCTGATTCGAATATAAAGTCGTTCGTTCAAGTTTAAACCTATCAGTACAATATCTTCGTTTTAACCGAACTAGCCGAAAAGTCGCGTCCAGAATCTTATTACCAAACTGAAACGCAAATCCTCGAGAAACATTGATCGCCAAGATTTTCGTGTAGCAAAAACAAAAGAAGAAAAAAAATTCTATTCAAAAAATAAATAGAATTAAACACACATTTAGAAGACAACGTTTCTTACCAATAGCCCCAACGCTCTTTAACTGCTTAGCAACTACTAAACACACATTCGCTCAAAACTACTTACATTACAAGATGATGAAACTCAAAGAAAAGATCGAAGAGTTTATCTATTTACTAAGTACAGATGATAAATACTCAGAATATGATTCGAGAAAGTCATTCAATAGGGTAAATAAACCAGATATGGAGAACTTGCTCCAGTATTCTTCCAGTCAGAATGGTGAAGACACGGCTCACCAAGACAATAGCCGAAACACCCTCGAAGGAGTCCATGAAGTCAAACTTGCTTGGAGACATATTAAACAATGGCTAATCAAATTTGCCCCAGACGTCAACAGTTCTTTACAGAGCAAATGTACTAATTCAGATATACGAGATTTCCAAGATGATCTCCGTATAGAATTACCTAATTGTGTTGTTGAGTTTTTCAAATTAACCGACGGTCAATCAAACTTTAGTAATATCAATATTGAAGCTGGAGGGTTATTTTTCGGATTGAAGTTAATGTCACTTGATGAGATCATGATTATGACTGAAAACTGGAGAAAAGTTTCCCGAGTCCTAAATAGTGAAATATCGCAAATTAAACAAACTACTAATTTCCATGAATTATCAAAGCTTCCAATGCCACATTTAAATACCAACCAATACAGAAAAAAATTCACCGGAAGTGAAGAATCATTAAGCCGAACATCATTGGAAATCACTCCATCCCGAACATCGTCCGCTTCGTCATATAGTTCGGAAACTTCAAGTTCTTCTTCTCAATTTCATATCCCCAGACAAAGATCCATCCCTCCTGGAACTATTCATGAAACATTCGCCCATCCAATGTGGATCCCCATAGTTACGGATGAAGTTGGAAACTATATTGGAATAGATTTATCACCACCTCCAGATGGCTCAGGAACTTATGGACAAGTGATTCTATTTGGACGTGAGTTTGATTTCAAATATAAGATTGCTGACAATTGGGGTGATTTCTTACTTATATTCGCTAATGATTTAGAACTGGGAAATTGGGATATTAAAGAAAACAGGAAAAATAATGATGGGGATTTATTTATTGGAAATGAAGGTGAATTAGTATTCATGGACAAGGCAACAAAGACCGAAATACCCTATTTGGAAGTTTTGAAACGTAGATCATTAAAGAAATGGATGGCCTCACTTGAATCATCCGATAATGAAGAACATAACCATATAGTCGAGGAATTGAAAATTGCTGAAACTTCTATTCTTTCCTTAGATGGCAGTTATGGTGCTGTGGATAGATTCATAAGTGACAACTTGGCACTTATTGATAGTGTTAACAGCCACAACATGGCACAACAATACCCACCGCTACCACCACCTGGACCACAACAAACGTATAGACGTACGGCATCTCAGAGAAAGAGTCCGTTGTCACAAGTGGTGACGGCGGAAATGTCAGAGGAATCTTCCGAGAATACGCTTCAGGAATTAGATATTACAAGTTGATCTATAGTGTATGTAGTAATAATACAAATGTTCGATTTCTTTTATCAAATAATTACCAAATAATTCTTTGAATCGATCCTGGTTCACTATCCCATGAAAATTCATACTTGAAAAACACCAACATCATTAGAACATTGATACTATTCAACCAAATGAACTCTAATGCATGAGACCAGGTATGGACCGGCGTTATATAAACTCTAAATAAAATTAATGGTACAATGTAATATCTTGGCTCAAATAATGGTGATGGAACAATCGTTAAACAGACAGAAACCAAGAATGCTATGATTCCGATAGGAGACAATCTCATTCGTTTGGTTCGTAACAACGATGATATGATATTATAGGTTGCAAAATGATATAATGGAATTGTAATCACTTGACTATACTTGTGGCTAATTAATTTCTTAAATATGTAAAATGTGAAATGTCTATTATCAGCCAATAAGAATGGATGGACAATTGTGAATTTATCGATAATGAACTTGATTCCAAACATGGACGCAGCATTAAGTATTTGATGAAGTGGGTGGGATCCAACGATGAATAAGCCGTAGTTTATAAGTACTTTTCGATTCATCCAAACCGGCCAAGTAAAGAAATTAATGAATGTAAAACAGTAGAATACCTGAACGAGATGAATACCGACTTTGTGATTATCTTTATCTCCAAACGTAATCCCACCATTCATTTTCAAAAATACTGCAAACAATACGAAATTCACAAGGAGTGGAATAATCAGAAAGAAATTGCTAACAGCAGTGGTAACAAACTTGATGACTCGACCAATGAATGAATATTCACCTCTCTGAATCTTTCCATCAATATATACAGCTAAAATAAATGCAATCCATACAATATTAGTCTGTCTAAACCAAAGACTAACAAATCCGACAATGGCACTCCCCCATGGTTGATGATTTTTGGCCAAAGCTAAGGACAACACCACCAACACCGCAGACCAAACATCCGTATAAAACAAAAAGTAATAAGTGAACAACAATGGCTGGGATATGATATTTATTGACCAATATTGATTAGTATAGGCTCCCTTTAAGCGATGAAGTGCAATTGGAAATACAATCAATCCACCAACCAAATTCAATGACCGAAGAACATTGTAGTCATCACAGAGTGATTTGATACCTGTAATGTATTCGAGTACTTTGACATAACCAAACCCAAGAAAGTATAATCCGGGAGGTGTTGTTATCTTGTTATCCCATTTATCAAATTGATAATTACAATAAGTATAACATTGACGTAAATGGAAAATCTCATCAATGAATGGATGTTTGACCTTTAGTGATACTTGATTCTTAATAAATATGCAAAAGGCAACAAATGCAAATATTGCAAAATATTTAACTGCAATTAAGGGATATGTATTGGAAATGACCAATGGCATTGCTTTCTAATCGGGAGGAATGGGCCAACTTCATGGATACTGATCTGAAGGGTTTTTGGCAACAAGTTTGGATGATCGGTCTAAACTTTGAGTGTCGCAGTCCAAACACACATTGAACGACATTTTGATATGCGACATTCACCATACGACACAAATGACTTTTGATAGAAATGGTTGCAAAAGATCCATCATGTAAGCTGCCTACATTTGCCATACAAAACACCCCTAAGACAAGCTATCAATAAAGACAAAAAGATATCATAATTCATATGTCAACCTAAATTGTTTGCTAGCTATCAACTCACTATTTTTTTTCTATTCTATAAGTAACTTTCCATGTCTATCTCAAGATCATTCATTCCAGAAGCCAGTAATCGGTTCATTCCAACAACATCATCCTCCCTGGTTTATAGAAATTGTGAATGGACGTCCCCACAAGAAGATTCAAAACCAATACAACCATCATTCACTCCCAATGTCAGTTTATCGTTACGAGAAGATGTACTTTTCAATCGTACCGATAATAGCAGTATTATTCAAAGAGATCATACTTCATCATTTTCTTCCGAGTATGGTAGTATTACTTCAAGTTCCATTTATTCCACTAAATCAACTCCTTCAATTCATGAAAACCCCTTAGATTTACATCAAGAAACCGTGGCCGAAGCCTTGGATTTTCAACAAGGTTCAAAAGTTTTGAAGTTCAAACAAGACGATTCTAAACATAGACTGAAACAGAAACCAAATTCAGTATTAGATATTGCTGGGCCTTTGTTTTCATTCTTGAATTATAAAGAAATTATGAAAATCTTGATTAATGATACAAACAAGTCCGGTATCAAGAAGCACTCCAAACCAGGCAAGACAATCATTGCGTCAGATATCTTACAAGCACCTGGTTTAAGAAACGATTATTATTCAAATCTTGTTAGTTGGTCATTCAAGACTAATAGAGTTGCGGTTGGACTTGGTTCAAAAGTATACCTATGGGGAGTCGATAATCATGTTATTCAAGTCAATTATGAAAATGAAGAACTAGTGACAGCAATTTCCTGTTCTAAAGATGATTGGATACTCATAGCCACTGCCGGTGGAAGAATACTTTTGATTGATCAAGCAGAGAATACAGTCGTTGCTGAATATGCTGTGAGAGATAATAAATGTATCTTTTGCATTACTTGGTTTCCTGATTCTAAAACATTCATTGCCGGTGATGATTATGGAGAAGTTTATATATTCAGAGCTACCAAGTTCAATGCTCGTGTTCTGATAGAGTTGATTAAGAATTTCAAATGTCATCAACAACACATTTGCGGTATGTTATTACTTTTTGATCATTAGACAATAATCCCTATTTTACTAACTTGACTATTTAGGAATTGCCTTGAATATAAAGAATAATGAAATTGCAGTGGGTGCAAATGACAATTGTTGTACTATTTGGGACCTTCATGATATTTGCAACCCACTTTTAAAATTCGTCCTACCCCATAATGCAGCCATCAAAGCGATTAGCTATTGTCCCTGGACAACTTCACTACTTGCTACAGGTGGTGGAAGCAAAGATAGGAAAATTCGATTTTGGCATACAACTAGTGGAACTTTATTAAACGAATTCTATACTGATGCTCAAATCACATCGTTAACGTGGTCAAAATATAAGAAGGAAATTGTGGCTACTTTTGGATTTGGAGGTACTAAGAAATCAACTTTATTGTCAGTTTATTCATATCCTAAGATGATCCCAGTTATAGAAGTTAACGCTGCTTATAATTTAAGAATTTTAAGTTCCACCATGAGTCCTGATTTTTGTTCCATATGTGTTGCAACCAATGATTCAACAATTAGGATTTATAAGTTATGGGATAAAACGGTGGAAATTTCTCTTAATTCAGAATCGAGAGGAATCGGAGCTTATGGAAGTTCAATAATTGAGTTAGTAGAAGGTATTTGCAAAGGATCTACAACAATAAGATAAGGTTTTCTCTAGTTCTCTCTTTTCATGTAGAAGCTGTCACAGTTTAAACTACAAAGATTTAAATGTGTATATGCAGGCGTAAAGGGAAAGTGCTTCACTTAATCTTTACTCTCTGATGGCGTATATGTAATGGTGCTGATATTGGGGGATATGTGATAAATGTAGGTGATGTCGAAGTAGTTAATTCGCCACTAACGGCCTAACCATGCCGATGGTCAGACTTAAGACTTTTGATATTTGCTCTCTTATTAAATCGTTCGAAACGTAATTTATTGATAATAAACAAAACTATAAAAACATACAAAATATAAGAAATACAACTTAATAAATACAAAGCACAGTAAAACTAATTAACACCAATTTACTGTATTTGCAATACAATTCTAATTCACAATATTATTTAAAACAAAACTTATGACAATGGCATCTTTATTCATTTAGCTTAAATTGCCATAATTCCAAATTAACGACTTTCATGTCGTGATGTCGCAAACTGACTTTTATATAGACAAATAACGCAAGTTTAGTCAATACTGCGACAGAAGCCTCAATTACATCATTATTCTTTGAAAATGAATCGTTTTTGTTCTCGTATCTTAAACTGTAAAATTTCCTAGATTTTTGAATGTTTTGCACATTGCCTCCTTTTGATCTCCCTGTCATCTTTAAAAATCCTTAACATATCCTTCATTTACAACCACCCAAAACTCCCCATCAATCCAATTATCAAACCCCTAAATATGTCTGGTGCGTTAATCAACCGTTCTTTGACTACCATAAGAACAGAGCTTGAATTTTTACGTGATTCTGAAGTAATCACCGAAGCATTATTCAACAGATTAGATTCGGCCCTTCCACAAAGATATCAAAAAGATTCAAAACCATGGGATGTTGATGTCTTAAACTCAGCATCTTCCGGAGTCCCAACACCTTCCCCTGTACCACAAGCACCACCTGCTGAGGTTAACAAAGTGGCAGATTCACTTGCAAAAACAACAATTTCCCCACCTGCTTATACCCCACCACCACAACCACAAGTCCGTAAACCAGTTGGATATTGTGTAGCTCTTTATGATTTCCCAGCACAACAAGCAGAAGATTTAAATCTTATAAAGGATGATAAGATTGCAATCATTGAGCATTTATCTGAAGACTGGTGGAAGGGTTATAAGAATGGTACTGATCCTGAAAAAGCTGGTGTATTCCCATCTAATTATGTCAGAAGCATTTCAGAACAAGAGTTCAGTTCTTCATATTCGGAAAAAGCTAGTTATAATGCTCCACAATATAATACTCCACCTCCACAACAACAACAACCTTCATACGGCGGATATGCTCAATTCCCACCACCATCCACGAATTACTATCCTCCACCACAACAGTATCAACCCCCACCCCCACAACAGGTACAAGAGGTACAACCACAAGAACAACAGAATAACCGTGTTGAAGAAGGTGCGAAGAAGTTTGGTAAGAAATTGGGGAATGCTGCGATTTTCGGTGCTGGTGCAACCATTGGGTCTAATATCGTTAATTCTATCTTTTAATGTTACCTTTATGTTGGTTTCTACAGATTGATTTTTAAAGGCTGATTTATATAGTGTAATAAACATATGCAATAAATTTTCAATAAGTTCTTTCTTATTTATTCAAAGTAAGGGCTATTTACAATAATTTTCATTTTTTATATACTATCTGTTTACTTACGACTATCAGTAACAGTGTTCAATAATAATGCATCATTATCCAAAACAATTCTATTAGGAGATGAAGCTAAGATGGATGCGATTTCTTTAGCAGTATCCAATCTCTTTAATTCAACATAATCTCTCGATTTCTTAATGGCTTCACCAATCAATTCAGCAGATTTGGCTTCACCAGAAGCTTTAACAACTAATTGCTGTTTTTCTTGAATAGCTTTATCAACAATAAATGCAGCTCTTTGGGCATCTTGTTGAGCAATTTGTTTAGCTTCAACAGCAGCACTGAATTCAGGAGAGAAAGTCATATAAGTCAAAGAAACATCATCTAATAAGACGTTGAATTTAGCAGCACGACGAACTAAGTTTTCTTTAACTAAACGAGAAACCTTTTCTCTTTGAGTGATTAATTGAGATGCATTGAATTGAGCAACAACTGATTTTAAAACTTCATTAACAATTGATGGAAGAACTTTTTCATCATAATCAGTACCCAAAGTTCTAAAAATTGCAGGTAATTGGAAAGTATCTGGCTTGAATAAAACTCTACAAGTGATATTAACCATTTGTAAATCCTTAGTACCGGTCAATGAAGCAATTTCTCTTGGTTTAGCTCTAACATCATAGATAATTGGTCTTTGGAACCAAGGAATGACAAAATGGGTACCTTCAGGATAAATTCTTGATTGAACACCATTTATACGTGAGTAGACAATTGCTCTTTGACCACCATCAACGTTGAATAATGCATTTTGTATTAAGATAGTAGCACCTCCCAATAAAACTAATCCACCAACTCCACCTAAAATTCCAAAAGGTGATTTTCCACCACCCATTCTTGGACCTCTTGATCCTCCACGAGCTTGTTGCGCTCTACGTCTTAATTCATCTGAGATATTCTTCCAATTCTGATCACTCATTGCTATTTGCTTTTGATTGTGAAAGTTTCTGCTGATTGGTCTTGGGAACTCTATTAGTTTAATTGCCATCCTTTAGTTGGAAGAAAAAAAATTCACCCTCACTATTGAATGTCGCACAAATAATGTCGCAAATGGTTCACACGACATTTTATGGACCCAAATCAAATAATTTAGGTTTATTAGTTACAAGTAAGGATAGATATAATACAAACAATATATTTACTAAGAAGGCACTCCTTCATAATCATTCTTCTCATAGTACTCCTGTAAAACTTTTCTCCAATATCTTTTTCGATTAGTTTGAACCGGCATTTCCCTTATAAACTTCTCCATAAATATTAATATCAAAATCGCCGCTGCCACAACAAAACTAGGAGCAATCATTCTTACAAATTTATCAGTAGTTACAACTCTCTGATATGGACATTCCGCATATGGACCACCGGAAACAAAACATCCTTCAACTGTCAAATCGTTCAAATCTATCCATACCGGGTATTCAATATCTTCGGTATTCATCAAAGCAAGCATTTCTCCATTCAGTCGAGGCACCCCGAATGAATATCCCGGTGGACAAGTTTGGGATTCAATATCGAAATAGGATTTTTCATCTGTGCTGATGGCCCACAGATGGGGTGAGGTGGAGTTTTGACAAGCGTATGTATATTTTTCATAACAATCTGCAACTGCCCATCCTTCACTGGTTAAGATCGTACATCTGAAAGCAGTCGCATGATCCAGCGAATCGGTAATTATATCCGTGCTAGCTGAAGCGATGGAGACTGTAGTGGTGGTGGTATTGTCATTCACGATATTGGTTGCATTTTCGGCTGATCGAGGTTCACCAGGACTCCATGACCAAAAGACATATGGAATGAATGTATCAAATACTTCGGCAAGTTCCAGTGTAGTTTGGTTATTTATTTGATATATCAGAGAGTTAAATATTGGAGAAAGTCCACATCTGATATATTGCCTAATACTTGTGAGTGTAAATGGATCATCAGTATTATCCATAATATAGCGGAAATGAGTAGATGGAGTACTATACCCTTGTATTAAACTCTCACAGGACTCACCCACGGTTTCATCAGTGGTATTCGATATTGATGTTGGCATTGTATCATTAAAGAAAATCACATTTCGGTCGGCTTGTGTGATGTTATATTTCCGTGAAGATGGCTCTAGCTCATTTGAAACGACATTAACTAGAATTCTTCTAAAATCAGTTAACAAAACAGTTTCAAGTGATGGCATCAATAAGTTCGAACTATTGTAATATGATACGGGAGTGGAAGAATGATTTATATTTGCTCGATAATTGTCTAAATCAATAGGTGTGAATAAAGATGAACCTAATGAGGCAACGGTTTCATTTAATGACGAATTCCCAATTGCAGTAAACGCCGGATCCATAGGAGTGAATGCTTCTATCAATGCATCCGTTTTACTACTTGGTTGAATAGAAATCGATTTTAAATTAAACAACATTTGAAGCAAATTCACCTCAAGATTGGTATTTGTACTTTGAATATAATTATTGGTATAATTCATGATATTCTCAGTAGTTAATTGTGGATCGCATATATATGTTCTATTGTTCCAACTAATAGAAATCTCACTCACCAGTTGATTAACTGTTGTATTTGTAGGAAAAGGAGCAGGACATAATTGCCATTTTGATGTAAATTCATTCCAATATAAATCTATTAATAACCCCTGTGAACCAACTTGAAGTAAGGTTTCTAAATTAGTGAGTGTATTTCGTGAATATCCATACTGCTCAAAGAGCATTGAACTTAATGATAGACCCGGGTTGGATAGTTGATCAATGGGGATGGGTCTTGATACATCTCTTTGGGATCGTATGGCAACTTCAATTTGACTGGAAAGTGTGGGCCAGTTAACAAAGGAGGAAACTAAGGATAGATTTGCCCAGCAAATATATAGATAGATCAACAACTTCATTTAGTGTAGCTTGAAAGTGAACATATCAATATTGCTTTCCTTATGAAAGAAAGAACGAGTAAACTTGAATACTCATGAAACAACATGGCTGATTTCTTTTGCAAGGGCCGAACATACTGCATATAAGACTCTATCTTTGCAAAACCATTTCTAAAAAAATCATGAACAGATACAAGCAAACTACAAGTGAGTAATTGAAAGAATAACATAGTTGAGAGATCCCGATGTACTAATTAGATCTTAGGCTCTATATATGAGGTCTAGGATACTAACCTTAGTACAATTTATTATTTTCTCCGGCAGAGATAGATATTAACCTTCGGTGTGAGGCCCCGCGTATACTATAAGATGAGTTACGAGAGTCTTCCAGTTACCTTTAAAGAACAATCTTCTTAAAGTGAGGCAATCGGAAGTATAACTATAACAATTTACTTTAACACCACCGGCTTGTTCAATACAAGCTAGACGCTACCACGTGTAAGTTCGTCGCGTTTTTCATTTTCTTTTGATCTCCACACCAAAATCAACGCGCATCAATCAATCAAATAGAAAAATGTAAACAAATAAATTTCTTAATGTAGAAACTTGATCTTCCTTTCTGAATGCAACCCTCTTTTGACTGCAAAATGTCACCTTCAGCGAACAAAGTACCAACCGAGGTAATCCTCAGACGATTCTTATCAGGTCTAAATGAAAACCAACTCAAAGCAGTCACAGCTCCACCTCATGGTAGATTACAAATTATTGCTGGGCCCGGAACTGGGAAAACCAAAGTGTTAACTTCTCGAGTTGCTTATTTATTAATTAGAGAAAACATTCCTCCAGAACAAATTATCGTGACTACATTCACCAAAAAAGCTGCTAATGAAATGACTGAAAGATTGGAGAAGATGCTAGTTGATACTCCTATCAATTTGAATAAATTATTAATTGGGACTTTTCATAGTATTTGTTATCGAATTATTAAGAGATATGGAAAGAAATTGGGGATTTCAAGTTATAGAATTGCTGATGAGAGAGATAAAGATCATTTCTTGAAAGAAGTGTTCAAAGGTTTAACTGACGAGGAACTTGCTCATATTCGTACATTTGATAAGTGGATGGTCGAAGTACTTCAAACTAAGAAAGGTGGTAATAAATATAATTTCTTTGATTCAGGAACTATCGGTAGACAAATCTCGAAATTTAAATCTTCCGGTATATTACCCAATGAGGTTCCCAAAACACCTTCACGAAATGATTGTCTTGTATATTTATATGAAAAATATCAAGCTAAACTTGCAGAAAATAGAGCTTTGGATTTTGATGATTGTTTATTGTATTGTTATAAATTAATCTCCCAATATCCAGTTTTAAACTACATCGAACATATCTTAGTTGATGAATTCCAAGACACCAATCCTATTCAATTACAATTAATGTATTATTTCGCCCAAGGACACCCTACTATTCCAGAAACTCAAAACAATGTCACAATCGTGGGGGATCCTGATCAAAGTATCTATGGATTCCGAGAAGCCCAATCCATCAACTTCAAAAAAATGATTGAGCATTATGAATCAAGATCTCAACCATGTACAATCATCTCCTTGAATGAAAATTATCGATCAACTAAAGACATCCTAGATTTCTCGGAATCAGTAATGAGACAACAACACGATCGGACAACCAAATCCTTAAATTCACAACTCACAAACTCATTCAAACCAGTCTATGCCGAACTCAAGGGCTCAGACAAAGAAGCGAGATGGATCGTATATCAGATCAAACATTTATTAGAACTCCCTAATTCTCCAATTGAATACAAAGATATTTCGATCTTAGTCCGAGCCGCCTGGCAAACCCGGGTAATTGAAGAAGAATTCGTGAAGGCAAGATTACCATATCATATGATCCGAGGTAAAGCGTTCTGGGAAAGACAGGAAGTGATTGGGATTATGGATTATTTGAGAGTGATTGGGGATGAATATGATCGTGTATCGGTGTTGAGAACTTTGAATTATCCAAAAAGAGGACTTGGTCCAAAGGCTATGGCCCAGATTGAAGGGTTTTTAGAAACATACCATGGAACAACTCATGATGCGTTGAGAGAATTGGCAGCGGGGAAAGGTAAGGATGTGAAATTGGGTCCGAAGTTGAAGAAATCAATTGGTGATTATGTGGAACTTATCCAAGACGCCCGAGAAATTTGTAGTACCATTGATCAATTGATAGAATCCGAGAAACCAGAAGAATCACTTCCAATTGTTCGACAATTATTTGATCTCGTCTATGAAAATTCAACCCTTAAAAAACATCTTGAAACCGAAGATGGAAAAGAAGGAAAACATGGCAATGTCCTAGAAGTGAAAAGAATGTTTGAAGAATTCATTCCCATAAAAGAACCCCTTCCTGCCTATATCGGCTCCACTGAATCTGATCTCGATACCGAATCAAGAAATTACATTCTTCAATTCATCGAATCTGTCGGATTGTACGATACTTCCGATAACACCACCACCGACCAAGAAGAATCATCATCATCCAGAGGTCGGATCGCATTAAGTACGATTCATGGATCCAAGGGTTTGGAATGGCCCGTGGTATTCGTCCCTGGCCTAAGTGAAGGCATCCTCCCCTCCAGTTTTGCCCGTGGGGAAGAGGAACCCAAAAATGAAGAACGGAGATGTTTTTATGTCGCCACAACAAGAGCGAAATCCCTACTTTATATTTCTTCATATTTTGAAAATTCTGAACTGGATTGGAGACCGTCGATTTGTTGTGTGTCACAATTTATCGAGACGTTGATTGATGGGTTTGCGAAACATCAAGAGGCATTTTCGAAGTGGGATAAATTTGAGGCGTTGTATAAGATACTTGGAAAGGAAGGGTTGTTGCCGGGGAATAAGGATGATTTCCCCTTGGCTAGTTTTAATAGGTGTTATAAGAGTCATGAAAAGAGATTTATCAGAGGGAAGGATCCGGTTGATTTCAAAGAGTATTTGAATCCTCCCGAGAAGAAGAAGCAATCGAAGAAGAATGAAAATGCCGATACTGATGATGAAGAAGTGGAGATTATTGCGGGGTTTACACTGGCTGCTGAAATAATTCAAGCAGGAAATGGAAAGAAACGGAAATATAACAATGCTTTCGGAAAAGCTCCACTACCATCATCAGCAACAATCACAGGCGCGGCGGCTATAAAGACACCAACTATAAATAAGGCACCTCCATATATTCCAAATGGGAAAATATCCGTCAATTCCAAAAGTATTGTTCACAATGGTACCAAGAGAGCACCAATATATATTCCTGATCGATAAAACCCCACACCCTGATGTCGTGCAGTTGGTGTAAATCAGTTTTCTAGTTCTGGGCCGTGGATAGATATAGATGAAACGTCTATTTTTAGAAACAGCCCTATTGTGTTATTGTTTTATGTTTTACATTATTGTTTTAGTTTGTTTTATAATGTATGGATAATAAGTTATTGATTTTGTGTCCTGCGTAGACGAAAGGGGGCTCGGTGAGTAGAACAACTTACACCTCCTGAGACAAGAAACTCTTCTATAGTATGTAAGTAGTTAGAAGTATCGATTATATATAGTTTAAGAAGGGTCGATTGAGTCTACAGATGGATGCCAAAGATTGCATTGATCTCCCTGCTAACGCGTCTTCTGGCACGAAAACAAGAGATAATTACACGCAATAATTATATTCTTCAAAAACCAAGCAAATAACAATTTTTCTATTTTTTTCTACATAAAGAGCCAACTATTAAACTTTATTAGGTGGCAAGTAGGTAGTTGAAGTTCCCTATTTAGTAATAGCAAAACTCCAAGGAACGGTCAAATGAACAGTTTGATCATCATCCACAAACTTCGAAACGGCATTATAATTCCCTCTTGCAATCATCCCACTTGGAGCTTCAATCTCAGCAAACTTCCGTTCATAAAATGGGTTCTCAACTGTATTTGGAGCATATGACCCCAATGGTTCATCCATTTTATCAACCCTAACTCCAGCCCTCTTTACCGAATGTAAATATTTCAACCCCGTGATAATTTCATGCTGGACTCTGAACTTGATTACGAGTTGATAGACTGACTTTTCTTTGATATTGAATTTAATCTCCTTATTAAGAATAGTATTCCCATCCACATCTTCAAGATTGACGCGAATGGGGGCAAGTTTGGGATCTTCAGGGAATTCAATTCCCATTTCTACAATGACTACTTTTCGTTTATCTCCGGTTTTGACTGGGTATGGGTTTGAATCTGATGTTAATCCGAGGGATGCTTTCCATTTTGCTAAACTTTCATCTTCTGCGTCTAGGTTTTTATATTCTTCAATGGTTTTCTTTTCGGTTACGACATAGCCTTCGACTTGTTCGGGTACTAAATCGTCGTCAATTGGGTGTTGTTGTTGAGACATGGTGAACTGCTTGTGTGATTGGCTGTAATTGTGGAATACGTGTTAAGAAGTACAAGAAAAGAGGAAAGAGAAAAGTGACAAGAAAGATTTAATAAAAAGTGTAAAAGAAAAATTTCGATTAATAAATGAACTTTTGTGTAATATTTTGTAACACAACAACAATGGATTGTTAGATCAATAAAAACAGTTTATACGACATATTTATTTACAGTCACCAGCCCCACGACATTCCTAAGTTACAATTATGTATGTATGTAGTATAGACGAATAGAGGCATATTGAGGGTCTCGGCAATTAAGGTTTAATACCATGGTTTACTTACCAAGTTCGCCTAGTTACTGCAGGGAAAGCGTCAGACGCGTCCCTTAATGCACGATATACTGTAAATTTAACCTTTTCTTAAACGAAAATGATCTTTATTATTTTTACACTTATACATCCATTACATACATATATACTCTCTTATTATTATTGTTGTTGTTGTCCATTTCCATTGGCATTCTCACTTCTATATCTATTATTCCCACCATAATTCTGTTGTTGTTGATAATTTCCTCTATTAGTATTGTTTTGAAATTGTCTTTTATTACTCTTATGTTGCGGTTGTTGTTGTGATTTACCTGATTTGGTATCATCAGGTAGTATAATATATGGATTATTCAATAATCTTCGTTCAGTCTCTTTATCATACTTTGGTTGTTGTTGATGATGTGGAGGAGGAGGGGGCATATACATTGGAGAAGGATATGGATATGTTGGAGTTCCTGTGGGGATCATGGTTGGGGGAGTGTAATAGGGAGGGTAGATCATAGGGGCTCCTGTCCCTGTGGTAGTCGCCCCTGGAGATCGCGGTGGCACTTGTTGTTGTTGTGATGCGGTGTTTGGGGGATACATGGGTTGGAATTGTGGTGGCATGACTCCTTGAGGGGTTAGATGAATTGGAACTTGCATTGGAATTGCAGGGTTATATGGGGATGTATTATAGGCATAACTTTGAGGATATCTTGAATTATTATAAGTATTTTGATAATCTCTATTATGATGGAAATATTCTGGTTGTTGAATATCATCTTCTTCGTCGTCATCTTCCTCTTCTTCATCATCTTCATCTTCATTGTTTTGAAAGATTTCTTCTCGTAATTTCATATAAAGAGCTTCTTTTGAAGCACGTTGAGATTCAATATTTGAAGAAGCATCTGAGAAATGATCAGAAGTTGGAGTACTCGCAGCTGTATCATCAGAAATGATTTTTGAAACATCTAAATCTTTAGTACCTTCACTTAACTCACTATCTGGAGTACTTGGTTTTATTATTTTTTTGACAATAAGTTTTGGTTTAATTGGAATCGGTGGTTGTTGTTCATTTGGTTCTGTCGATTGTTGTTGTTGTTGTTGAGCATATTGTTGAGAAATATCATATATTTTAGTAAATTCCGAAGCATCTATTTTCGATATAAGTTCTTTATAATTGTAATTATTAGTTGGTGTTACTATTATTTCATTTGATGTATTATTCCAATGTTGTAAATTATAATATTGACATAATTGATGACTTAATAATCTATAATAAGAATTCTTTAAATATTGTGCTTGTATTGTATATTGAGGTGGTGGAGTTGTTGGATTATCTTGTTGTGGATGTATATTAGTCTTTATAAAGTTAATTAAATCTTTCTCTAAATGAAGTAAATATAATCTATCTTGTTGTTTAACAAGTGCATTCTTTAATGAATTTGGAATTTCTTCTGTCATTTTGTTTGGAGTTTAAATAAATTGCAAAATTTCTTTGTTAAATGAGAGTGTGTGTGTTTGTTTGTATTAGTTTATCCTTTGTTTGTTCTAGGAAAGGAATATAGTCTAAGTGAAAGTATCTAGCAGTGGTAATACGAAGTTGTAAGTGATTGAATAGATTGACTAGGAAAAGATTTTTTTCTCTCTCTGATTGTTTTTTATTATTGAGTGATTAATTTGGTATACCCTTTTTAATTATTTAATAACTGAAGTATAAAATGTACTTGAATTCTTATTTATATATAGTAGTATATATTACTTAAAGTGCTATATTGTAGTAAAAGGTAGTTATAGAAGTTGTAACTATTTCTATAAAATTTTAGTAATTAAAAAAGAAAGAACGGAAAACTTTAAAAAAATTAAAAAATTAAAAAAAAAATTCAAAGTAAATTAAATTTAAGAATTTCCTTAACAATTTGAATCGCATTCTTTTTTTTTTCCTACTGGTGTTAATTATTGAGTTTTATTAATTAAACAATTAAGGCTTAATTGATCTGACTATCTTTTTGTAATCAATTAAATCTTAAAACATTTAGTTAAACCAATACTATAACAAAACCTATAGAATTAACCGTTAAGTCAATGGTATACAACCATCCGACTATTCGTATATATACGAGGCTTTTGCTTTCTTTTCTTTTGGTCTTTCTCTCTCTCTCTCTCTCTCTCTCTCTCTCTTTACTCCAACTTCCAGTGACTCATAGAATTTCCACATTAAATTGTTGATACTTACGTAATATACTACAAATTATCAATAACCCAATAATACATACGTAGTTAGTTATACTTTATAGTTTATAGTTATAAAGTTATCTCTCCTCTTTTCTCAATTAAAATTGTCTCTCCTCTCCTTCCATTCATTTCTTTATTTCCTCTTTGTCTCTCCTCTCAACAGAAAATCTCTCACTCTAAGCAAAATGTGTGAGAGAGAAAATGTGTTGCCAAAATTTATTTATTTATTCAACAGTTCTTTATCTTTTTGCCATTGGCTATTATTTGATTTATAACATACAAAAGAAAGCTTACTTACAATTTGAAAATATGACTGATGCAAATGAAGTATGTACACGAGTATCTTATTGATAACTAGTAGATCAACAATACTAACCCCATATCTCTATAGATCAGAGCTAGACGGTTAGCTCGATTAAATGCATTAGCAGCAACTTCTAATAGTAATACTACACCACCTCAACAACCTCAAGAACAATCAATCGATTCAAGTCAATCTCAACAATCAATCAGCATATCCACTCAATCTCAACCATCAACAGCAACAACAACAACAGACCCTGAAAAAGTCAATGAACCTAAGACTCCAATTGAAAATATAATTCCCCCCAAGGTCCCTTTGATTGATGTATCTGAAGAAGATCATTTATCAGATTGGATAACTCAAGAATTAGAATATTTATTCCAAGCTACATTAAACCCTGATAAACAAAAACAATTTATATTTTTAAATAATTTAAGTTATGAATTAAAATCAGATCCATCATTAAGATTAAATGAAGATCATATTGAATCAATATTTATGGAAATATTAACTGAATTAGGTATACCAACTTCAATTGCAAAAATTCCAATTGAATATTTATATTTAGTTTATCATAATGCTTTTAAGACTAAACGATTAATCCCAGTTAAATCACCGTTTTATCAACAAAAAATCAACTTTTTAAATAAAGTAATTAATTTTGCAACTAATTATGGGAATATTTGTTTACAAGTTCCTGATATGTTTATTAAAAATGACATTTATACATCACTTGATTTTTTCATTAGAAGATTTGCTGATACTTCATCATTTTTAATTGATATTATTAAAATTACAATTGAAGAAGATACATTATTAGATGTATTGAATTTATTATTTCCTTATTTAAGTGGGAAATTATATTCAACAAATTTAAATGAAAGAACTTATTTAAATCTTGTATCAATTTTCGAAACTTTAGTCTCCATAAAACCCGTGGCAGCCATATTTTCTCAAATTACTGGGTTTCAACCTCCACTGAGACAAAATGGTCTTGATTTTGAACATAAAACCTTATTAGGTCCATTATTAAGATTATCCCCCTTGTTGGATAATATGGCAACTTATTATTTTGGTGATAATATAGAACAAATGTCCCCTAATCTGATTTCAAATGTTTATCAATCAATTCAAAATGAATATAAAGTCATTTATGAACGATTATTTTCAATCATTGATAAATTAATTCGAGGTTCTGCACAAACAAGACAAGATTTATTAATTTGGTTTGGTGATTTGGTTAATTTAAGTCATTTACGTAGAGGTTCTCATGCCGATTTTAAAAAATTACCAAGTGATGGAATTATGTTTAATATTTCCATGATTTTAATTAAATTAAGTTTACCAATTTTAGATTATCCAATATTTCCAAAAATTGATAAAATTGATGTTGATTATTTCTTTAAAAGTCAATTACTCGATATCAAAGAAGAATCAAGAGTTAATTCAACAATTGAAGAAGCTAATCAATATTATGAAACCAAGAGATCTCAAATTACTGATTTATCGAAACTCCCACCACCAAATTTCATTTCTGATTGTTTTAATTTAACTTTGGCATATTTACATTATGGTATGGGTGGAGTATTTATTAAACATGATAGATTGAAAAGACAAATCAAACAAGAACAACAAAGAATAGATATGATTGAACAAGGAAGATCACTCCCAAATATGCCAGGAATGAATCCTATGATGATTAGTTTTATGCGAGCACAATTACCCAAGATGAAAAAATCACTTGATCAATTACGAGCAGTTAAACATTCTATAACGGCGATATTTTCTTATCGAATTTTACAATTGGATATATTTGATTTTATAGTTGGTGCAACTACTTTTATTGTTCGATTAATTGATCCATCACATTCATATCCTCAAGAAAAATTATCAATTCCCATTTTCAAGGTTTCTAAAGTTTCAGAATTAGATGATCATGATTATTTAAAAACCAAGACTCCAGAACCTTGGAAATATTATCCTGAATTCATGGTGGAAGGGATTATTAATTATTGTAAATTCCTGACTAATTTTATTGGATGTCCATTGGTTGATAATCAACCAAAATTAGAAATCTTTGTTGAATTTATGACTGTATTGTTAAGATGTCCCGAATTGATTGGTAATCCTCATATGAAGGCAAATTTAATAGAATTGTTATTTATTGGTTCATTACCTTTAAGTAATGGCGAACCAGGATTTATTTCAAATATCTTGGCCTCCAATAAATTAGTAATTGATAATATCTTATATTCATTACTTGATTTTTATGTTATGGTTGAAAAGACGGGTGCAAGTTCCCAATTTTATGATAAATTCAATAGTAGATATTATATTTCGGTGATTTTAGAAGAATTATGGAAAAATCCATTATATCGTCATCAATTAACTGATTATTCTAAAAATAATGTTGATTTTTTCATTAGATTTATTGCCAGAATGTTAAATGATACAACTTATTTATTAGATGAAACATTCAATCTATTAAATTCAATTCATGATTATCAACAAGAACTCAAAAAACGTCAACGTGGATCCACACCAAATGAAGAACTCGGAACCACTGATGAAGAATTAGCCGACAATTTACAATCTTCAGAAGAAAGAGCAAAATCATACATGGGCCTTTCCAACAAAACCATGGAATTATTCAAACTCTTCACCAAAGAAGTTCCCTCGGGTTTTGTCCTCCCGGAAATCGTCGATAGATTGGCCGGAATGTTAGATTATAACCTTTCAATCATGGTTGGACCCAAATGTTCAAACCTCAAAGTTGAATCCCCGGAAAAATACGATTTCGACCCCAAAAGAATCCTAACCGACCTATGTCAAATCTACGTCAATTTATCATCCCAATCAAAATTCATAATTGCAGTAGCCAGAGATGGTAGATCGTTCAATATTCAATATTTCAAAAAAGCAGAACAAATCCTCACCACCAAAACCTATGTCCCCCAAGCTATCATTACCCAATTCTCGAAATTCGCAACCAGGGCAGAAGAAACCAGAATCGAAGAAGCTAATGAGGAATTAGAACTCGGGGAAGTTCCCGATGAATTTTTGGATCCATTGATGTTTACAATCATGGAAGATCCGGTGATTTTACCAAGTAGTAAAATAAGTATTGATCGTGCTACTATTAAGGCGCATTTATTGAGTGATTCTATTGATCCGTTCAATAGGGCGCCGTTGAAGTTGGAGGATCTTGTTGATGATGTGGAGTTGAAGAGAAGGATTGGGGAGTGGAAGATGTCGAGAAAGATGCAGAGTGGGGGTGGTGATGGGGATGTGGAGATGAAGGATGATTAGTGTATATAGATTTTACGTAGGGAATATGACATTTGGAAGTAGTAATCTCTTGAATCTTGAAAGACATTCGTCTTTTTAATTGAGTGTATTGGCTATTTTTCGTAAATTTTACTTCTTTTACTGCAGGTCAAGAGAGTCAAATTCGAAACCCCAACTGGCTGAGCATCATGGTCGTCACAAATTGACTGCTACGATTTTTATAAGCGTAATCAAATTTCTTTAGATCAGTATGGCTATACAGACTTTGGAATAAAAATCGATCAAAATTGTACCTTTCTGACATTGTCTTTCAGATAGATAAAAAACTTTATTATTAACTATACAAAATTACCTTAAATTCATCCTATTAAATTATATGCAAAAACAAATATCGTACTAAATTTAAGCCTTAATAGCGAATTTTCTTTGTGGATAAGCAATTCTTTGTTTTCTAGCCTTATCAGTTTCTTGTCTAGCTTCAAACTTAGTCAATCTTCTTCTAATAGCTCTGGTCTTCTTAGATCTTAAATCCTTTGGTTGATATTTCTTACCAGCGTAAAAAGCTTTAACATTTTCTCTTTGAGTTAAGTTAATAACAGTTAAAACACGAGCAATGTTCTTTCTAACAGTGTGGATCTTTGGTAATGATGGTCTTTGTAATTTTTGAACCTTCAAGGTAGCTAATTCTTGCTTTAATTCAACTAATTGTTGTTGTAATTGTTCCTTGGACTTGGTTCTTAATTCAAAAGTCTTAACGGCGGCCTATAAAAAAATAAAATGTTAGTATTATGGGGTCCTTTTTCACAATGATGAGTTGCGAGACACTAAGGTCTTGTCCACCTTTGGGTTCCTGGGAGTATGTGAGATGTTGTAGTGGGTTTCGTTTGGATATGTGAGTGTGGTCGATTGTAGTAGGTTTCGTTGCGAAATATGATTATGGTCACAGTATGAAATTATAGATCCTATGATCGGATGAAAAGGGTTCTCTCATCTCTCTCTTTGAAGACAGTAGAATCTATGTGATATGTCTTTGACTTTACGTGGTTGTAGATATGTGGTTGTATATAAAGTTGTCGATATAATTTTTATGGCTCTGCCTATTCATTTCTTAACTTTCGATATTCACTCCACTTGCAATATTCTCTTCCAGGTCTTTCCAATATTCACATTTTTTTCTTATTCACGATGGGTGACTATTTGACAAGTTCGGTTGTGTCTCTCTCATTACGTATAATTTTCAACATACCATTGTTGCTATTAGGTATTACTGAACTATCGTTGAAGAAGTATTACTATTTTAACTCTGAAAATTTTTTTTTTCAAAGACTTTTGTTTGGAGTGCACTCTCTGAGCGTTGCGCAAAAGGTTAGTGCGAAGAGTGAGTGAGAGTAGGAGGACAGTGCAAAATCGGCATTGGTAGCGCGAATCGATTCTGCTTTCTTAGTAGGAGACAGAAAAAAGAAGCAAGCTTTTGATGTTCGCACTATCAAATTATATACAGGAGAAAAATAGATATCACGTGCTGGGTGTTAGGGCTATATCCCTAAATATTTTTCGTTCGCCATGTGATCGGTTTTGTCTGGCTATGGTCGATTGTTGCAAAACCAATTTAGAGCACTAAAACTCGTAACAAATCGTAAAAGACAATACTTTCTTACAAATCTGTCGAGGTGAATAAGATTCAAAGCTTTTTAGTCTATGTCGATTCTACTTTGAGATGGAAATGTCTCTTCTCAAAATATTCCCTCTTGGGATCCAAATGGAACTAGAAGTTCAGAGGTCTGTTATCTTTGAAGATTATTAGTTCGAGAAAGTAATAAGACGACTCTCGGTGTTCAGAGGCGGTGACTCGCGGTGTTCGGAGGCGGTGCTATTCGAATATTGGAAAGACGAATGCATTTTGTATTGGATTTTTTTGTTTTTGTGGTACAAAACACGTACAATTTCAACCGGCGAGTTAAAAATAGATTTCTTTGATCTGATTCGACTGCACCAATTCTAATTGAGACGTGTGTGCAGTCAATCGAGGTAGCTTCTTCCAGAATATTCGTTGTCTAATCAAATCTACCTACCTGGAAAAGGCAACGAATTACCCATTTTGTAATTAATTAACACATGTATTTGTAATAAAGACTTGTAAAA